TACCACCACCACCACCACGACGACGACTACTACTACTACTTCTACTTCTACTTCTACGACAACAACAACTACTACTACTGCTACTGCTACTGCTACTGCTACTGCTACTGCTACTGCTACTACTACTACTACAACAACAACTACTACTACTACTACGACGACGACTACTACTACTACGACGACGACTACTACTACTATTACTTGCTGCTGCTACTACTACTACAACTACTACTACTACTACGACGACGACGACTACTACTACTACTACGACGACGACTACTACTACTATTACTTGCTGCTGCTACTACTACTACTACTACTACTCCTCCCGCTGCTGCTGCTGCTACTACTGCTACTAGCGGCGGCTTCTAGTATCGTTTTTGGTCTTTTGACCAGGCGCGGTTTTTTCAAGTATTGGTCCAGTCGAAACTGTAGCGTTGCTTGCTTTCAATGCTCTTGCCATGTTCGTTGGCACAGAGTTCAGCGGCTCACAAACTTTGAGCTGACACCCGTGAGCCAAGTCTTAGACCTCACACCTCAAATGCTAGCATCACACGTAAAATGCCAGCATGAGGCAGGAGGCGGCGTGCCGGGCAAGAACAAGCGCCGCTGGGCTTGTTGAGAGCTTTGTGCAAGTAGGTGGTTTAAACATGCATGAAGGAGGCGTGCATTCATGCACGTATGCATGCCCGTATTCCCAGCGAAGTTGAAGTACCTGGTACCTGTGCTTGTATTATGTTTGTCTATTTACATGCATACGTGCATTTATGCAGACGCAAGTCTAAGTAGGTAGTGACGGACTTCGATACGAACATGATATAGACATACATCTCTCTCTCTCTCTCTCCCTCTCTCTCTGTCTCTCGCGTCTCGCACTGCCAGTCCACGAGCCGTTGCGCCTCCTGCAGTGTCCAAGGCATTCTGGCTCTCTTCGACGTCGATGGCACCCTGACGGAGCCTCGTAAGGCAAGCAATTCCATTCATCATCACCGGCCCGCGAAAGTCTCACCGACCTGCCTGGTGTGGGCCAAGCATTCTCGCTCCCAACCCCCTGATGGAGGTGGTGTCGCCTGAGACCCTCAGCTACCTCCAGGCCAAAGTGTTTCAGGGACTTGGAAGCTGGGAGTGCAGCCCCCCAGCCACCCGTGCTTTTGCGCAGCTGAATTCTCACTCCGCCCTCGCAGTCTCTGCGGGAGAAGATCAGCATAGGGGTCGTCGGTGGCTCCGACCTTGCCAAGCAGAAGGAACAGCTTGGAGATAGCCACTTGGGCTACTGTATCCCACCCTTTCCAAGCCTGCGAGGATTGCTGTAACAGTAGGCGGGCAATGATTTTGAAGCCTGTAGCCTACCAGCACTCAAGGTCCCAACCTGTTTGACTTTTGCTTCTCCGAGAACGGCTTGCTGGCCTACAAGGCCGGGCCAGAGCGAGCTCCTTCTTCCTCGACCCACGAATCTGGGCCCTAGAAGCCGAGACAGCCCAGAGAGCCCAGAGGCTCAACTGAGGCTGCAAGGCGCTCGCCGTGATAGCCCTGTGAGGATGGGGAGAAGATCGGCGAAACGTCGATAACGCAGCATCTCGGCGAGGCAGCACGGCGTTCGCTGCAGAACTCCGAACCTCAAGGGGTAGGATGGAATTTTGAGGTCTGTCTCGTGGATTCCCACTCATCAGGATCGTTCGTGCGACAGCAGCTCAATGCTTTGTCTTCTGGCGTAGAGTTTAGAGGTTCGGCAGGTGTGCCGGGTTTTAAGACGATTAAAAAGCGAGGTGCAATCCGCGCGAGTAAGTCACATAATGAAGCAAGCTTTCTGGTTGCAAGACACTTGAGAGAGTTGGATGACCAAGACAGAAGGCAGGGTACTAGGTATGCCTGGTATGCAGTGGTCCTAGGCGTTTGTCCTTTTGTTGCTGTGCGCTTCCGTCCCGGAGCCAAACATGAATTCGATCATGGCCCCGACGTCTGGTGAATGCTTGGTATCTTCGACTTTGAAGTCGTCTTTCCCAGTTAAATAATATATTATAGAAAAATATAGTATATCCAAAATAGTCTAATATAGTATAATATAACAGAATATAATATAATGAGTTTTGCAGCCCTTGACTCTTGGGCCAGGAGAAGCTGAAGAAGCTGATCAACTGGGTTCTGAAGCCCCTGAAGCTTGCACTTACTGCCTCATTCGGTCGTAAGGGGTGAGGGTTTGCGGGCCGGCTTTCAAGTCCGTCGCACATGACTTCAAGGGTGTCAGCTACAGATCCTTACCCTCAACCTAAAACCCCCCCGACTTAGTTTCAAATTGTTCCGCCCTGGAGCTTCGGGCCTTTGCGATGTTGGTCCCAGTTCGGGATATGCTTCCCGCATAATAGTATAATATATTATGATATGCATATTCTCATTATGAAGCGCCCAGCTCTTCTTTTTATATGATGCCGGTCATCCAACCAACCAGCGAGCCCACGGATCTTCTTGCGAGCCCAGGCCCTTTCCTCACTGATATATTGAAAGTCTCCAAGCGCACTGGTCCTAGCTGAGGTATTTTGCAGAACTTGATATTCCCATAAAGCGTGGCACCTTTGTGGAATTCCGCAAGGCCTTGTTTTCCAAGATTAGGATGGTAAGGATGACAATGGGCACAGCATGAGGATTATGATTATGTTAATGATGAGGACAAAGGTAAAGGCGCTGATAGTGGTCACCATGAAGATGCTGACGGTGATGCTGGGCGTCAGTGATGATGGTTGTAATGTGGTGTGGTACTGGCTGCTGTCGTTGGCAATGGTTCCGATGGTAAACGCCATGATGTCGCTCACGCTGACAATGTACATGATGATGATCATGATCATGACGATGTTGATGGTGATGTGGCTGCTGTTGTGACCGCTGTCGTTGCACTTTTTCGTTGCACCACGTCTTCGTTTTGTTCTTGTTGTCGTCATAGTTGATGCGATCACAAATGAGGTCATA